AATTTTTGACGCTTATTCAAATGTAAAACTCAGAGCAGTCTTGTATGCTTTTGGTCACCATGGTCTTCAAAAGGTCAAACAAGGTCACTGACCTTAAATGAGCACGTGACCTTTTGCTTGGAAACAGCTAGGTTCTGGGGGTACTTTGGAGACCAACCTGAAATATGACCTTGTTTGACCCTATTTGACCCGAAGGTCATGACCTAAGAACCACAAAATTTGACCTGAGTGAGTTCACGTACAGGTCAAGACACCCTGTGAATTTGGTGTATGTAGCTCCCTTGGTTCTCGAGATCTCAGTGAGGTCAAATTGCCCCCCCCCCCCCGCCACCGTAGCAAAAGGTATCTAGTCGGCTATCCGGGCGCGTGTTAAACAACTGTGGCTGCATTGGGCATGGCATATATGTCATATGCAATGACCAGTCATTTACATTTACTTCAATTTAACCATATTCCTCCGAGGGACATGCGATTTATCTTAAATTGCTGGAAGGGGCTAGTTCTGCCCCTCCCCCCCCCCCCTCCCCAAAGATCTCAAGGAGTTGACGGACTGCAATTGGTGAAGTGTCGTTCGGTCGTGTAAAAAATCTTAAGTTGTGGAGCTCCGATAATTGTTTAAAAAGTAGATGACAGGAGCAGGCCAAAATTGAAATATCATCGTTGTTATGTGGGGGACTACTATGGTCATGTTGAGGAACCAATCTTAAAGGGAGTGGCCGATATTTGGGGCATATTTCATAAACATACCCTGGTGAAACCTCAGGACCATTTACGTATCGAAATAGCATTGGGTAGTGCCGCTGCAGCACCATCAAAGTACAATGAAGTTGTAAATGTTACTTTTGTTTAGTCGACGCTGCCCAGGCTTTGCAACAGCACGACATTTCTTGTTTTGTTGGTAGCCCCAGAGTGTATTATGAGTCCGCGACAACTGCAATTGTCGTGACCGTCGTCACGACAACCGCCGTTGTCATGACGGTAGAATCTCCTGAGGGCCGTTGTCAGCTGTTACGGGTTAGAGGTTTTACTTGAGCTGTTTTAACCCACTCATTGCGGCCCCGTGGGCTTAAAAGCTATACCTCGACTGGTGTGAATGACGTCAGTACAAATAAACATTTGTGATTGGCGCAGCGGGTAGTTGCCAAGAAGCGCATAAGTCGAAGTGTGAACCAGTGTGTCACTGTGAATCATGTGATACTCCGTTACCCAAAGCCAAACTGCGCGCCGGAAAAGAGCAACTGGGGTGAACGCCGTAGGGGAAAATCAAAGCCATGTTGAAACGTTTCTTTGAATTTGCGGGACCAAAGCCTCATGTTCGTATACTTTGTTATGTAAAGAGTGTTCGAAGCTTTCGTATCATTTATTACACAAGCATTTCGACAAATAAGCGTGTTGCAAACATACATTGTGTGTTCATGCAAACATGCAACGTGCGCTCTATACATACGTTAGCAAAAACATGGCAAATTGAATTTGCTGCGTTCGTAGTGGTAAACAGGGAGTCAGAGGATGTTTCTTCCGGCTGCTTCAAGTCCAAGTTCCGAGACACTCAGAAGGATTTCGAAAAAATGGTATTACCGATGAAATCGGACACATCGGGCTAAACGATAAATGAAAATATATAAGGAAAGTGCCATGCTCCCTGTAATGGGTTGAACAAAGCTAAGTATGGAGTGCACGGGCCTTTGTTATATCCAAAGCTCAAAACCATAATAAAAATTCCTAGACTGCTCCAGGGTAATAAAAAGTTGATTTCTGTGAAGTAGGGAATTAATGCCGTTGTGTCCTATTTTGAATGCTACAAACGTCAAGTATATACCTTGAAAACCGATTTATGGCTTGTCATGCATTGTTCAAGGTCGGATCTAGCCAAATGATTAGGCATAGAGGCACCGTCGGTGTCTCTTCTTCGTCCCTCTCCCCATTGCTTGGCCTCCCTACCTGGAGGAACTGACACCAATAGTTGCGATACATGTCCTGCATGGTGTACGCGCACGGCAGCGTGACTGGGTTTCCCACCTTTACTTTACAAGTGAAGGCGATGGCGGCAGACCGCGTCCAACGCAGACGAACCCCGAATAACGGGAGCCTGAAGCCGCACATTATCAATGTTTCTCTTTTGAAGGTCTTGCGCGGTACGCCCATGGGAGAAGCGATTTCTATATACGCGGGTGGTACTTGTAGGAATGGTGTGATCAATCCACCGGTGTGTTGTCATTTGTCAGTACCTGAGTGCTTCCTTACCATAATATTTGTGTTCGAACCCAGTGTATAGGTTAGATGACATATTGAGAGCATATTGCTTACCAAAAATAGCGGCCCGAAGGTGCCTCTGCCGAGCCTCTTTCTTTGGGATCTGTACAGAACACTCGCGTATGAATTTCATAACGAGCGACAACAGTTCGTTGCAAGACGGTTTACGGTTTACGACCGGCTTACGACCGGCGAGAAAAAACACGCTGGATGGCAGAATGTGCGTCGCATCAGCGAATGGGAAAAACCCACTGGCTGGCGTATCGTCCCGCCGCATTTACGAGTGTCGTCTGTCTCGGGGCGGGACCTGGGCGCGAGCGCAGAGCTGCCGCCGTTCCGGTCCCTGTGGTGGTGTTCTCCGTACGGGACCGCGAGCCACGCCCCGGCTCCAGCGCGAGGCCTCCTCTGGCTCGATGGACTCAATGTCCGGGGCGAACTTTGACCGTCCTTCCGCGATGTTTGCGGCTGTGACAGTTGCGACTGTTGCGCTTGTGGGCGTGACTGTGAGTGGCTGTGACTCACCAAGCCGGGAGAACAGCATGGCTGGCAGGATGCAGCTGTGGGTTTCTTGGTTCGGGCGCTGACAGCGAGTTCGCGAGGCGAGCTAGCAGGCCCGGTGAGCATGAATGGGGAGGCATCGCTCCCAGAAGAACAACAGCGTGGTCATATTTGAGACGCTGGCTGTGAGGCATCCCTCACTTCCCTAACCAACGTAGACAGATAATGCCATACACGAAATAGGAGATGCTGATTTTCATGTGCACATTTTTGGTAACGGTGATGTTTGTGCACGTGATATGCAAGAAGGTAAGGAACTTTGTTGGACAACTGTTTCGTAATCACGGCTGGTTGTTTTAAGCTCAGATTCACTTCATATTATAATGCGTTAGGATCTGATATCACAACGTTTTCATGTCATGAGCAAATCGGGTGATTCGGGTGATACAGTCAATTACAGTCAATTCGGGTGATACATGTCCATACGCATGTCGGGGAGTGTAAGGAGAGCCCAACGCCCTAGAGGCTTGCAGCTGGCTCGTACTGGGTTCAATACCACAGCTGTTGAATGTGCAGTCGGCACGAGTCATCCCGTATTATGGACGGCGTCCAGTGTCACACCCGCGCCCCTCGCCCCCGCGTTTCTCACGTTGTGCGCAGATTGCCGGTGCGGTATCAGATACGGTTGACTGCAGTTGGTGTTCAGTGACCTCGCCTCCCGTTACGCTCTGCCTGCGCTGCCTCACATCGCGTACCGGACGTGGTGCTGATCTGCCGGTGCTCATTGGGCGGGGACGCAGACGCATCCTGCTGATGCCCACTGCAACGTAGCCAGCTGGGGCTCCAGGGCGAGGCCAGCAGCTGCCCAGTACAGAGCTCTGCCACCCACCAGAGCGAGAAAGGCTCCCGGCAAACATGCCAGCGGGTCACGGGAGGAGGTGCTCAACTATTTGTCGTAGACGGCGTGCGCAGTAACTCATACGTTGTTTTCGCCATTAAGAGCCTTGGGCTGTTAATGTGTCAGACTGGCGGTATGTGGTCACATCAGGCGTGGGTCCGTCCACCTGCGGCAGGATCAGACCACCAGCCGGCTGCGTACAATGTTCTCCGGTGTCGGCATCAGGCGTGGGTCCGTCCACCTGCGGCAGGATCAGACCACCAGCCGGCTGCGTACAATGTTCTCCGGTGTCGGCATCAGGCGTGGGTCCGTCCACCTGCGGCAGGATCAGACCGCCAACCGGCTGCGTGCAATGCTCTCCGGTGTCGGCATCAGGCGTGGGTCCGTCCACCTGCGGCAGGATCAGACCACCAGCCGGCTGCGTACAATACTCACCGGTGTTGTTTAGCTTCGTTGTCGGGGCTTTTCGCCGCAGCTTGGGTTCATGGCCCTGCCTGCTGTTGACCATGACAGGAAGGATGGGCGCTGCGTGGAATCGAACTTCCGGCGCCTGGTTTTCCCAGCTTAACCACTGCGCTATCGGTACCCCATTGTTCAGCTGCAGTCGCGGCTTATGGTGTGCCGACTCTGTCCTTGGAGCGGCAGATTGATTGTGGCAACTCGCGAACATGCGAATTCCCGCAATCAAACCCTGTTGTTCCTGTCGGTGGGCAGCACTATTAATTTCGTGGTTATAATCCCGATGTGTGGCAATTAAAAGTAGCAAGCCGTATTCAACAAGTCACGGTGGTCATGGGAACATTTTTTACCCGTATGCATGCAACGTTGCCGACCGAAATCGCGGATTAAAATGTTTACAGACATTGTTAAGAAGTATGTCATCGCGACATTGATCCTGGTCATCGCTAATTTTTGTGTAATTTTTGCGTTACTTTTTTCGTGGTGAAGCTTTGTTTGGTTCGTGTAAGAAGACAGTAACTACAATGGCAGCCTTTCCTCATAAAGCCACCGCCGGCATGGTTTTAAAGTCCCCAATGGTTTCTCCACGGAGCCAGTGATGTCTAAAAGGTAGCGCACTCAGCTCCAAGGCGCGGTCCTCGTACGGCGTCATAGCGGCACGGGGCCACGTGGACAGGCGGTGCCGCTCTGGCGGCGTCTCGCGTGTCGTGTTGTCCGCGGCTGGTTATCAACCGACCCCGGGCACCGTTCCCCGCAAACTGACCGGGGGTCCGCTTTCGTCCCGGCAGGCGCCGCGCTGTGTCGCAGCGCGTGGTCTGACACCAGCCCCGGTCTCGGCAGCGGCCACGCCGCGTCGCAGAGTGTGATCTGACACCAGCCCCTGTCTCTGCAGCGACCACGCCGTGTCGCAGCGCGTGCTCGAGGACCAGTACGTGGAGAAGGTGTTGGCATGGGCGCTGGAGGAGGGGCGTGTGACCACGCTGCAGGAGCTGGTGGGCCGTGACCTGGCATACCTGTGGGCTGTGCCCGGCTGCCTGCCCGTCGGCCGGCTACCGGCAGTGGCCGATCCAGGTGAGCGTTGGGCCGTCGGCTTCAAGTCATCAGGCCGTTGGGGTGCAGCTAGCCGGGTGAGTGCCCACACACACGTGGGCCGGGCCGAGCGGAGGACCGCCTCCACGGGGCGCCCAGGGGAGAGAGGGGGGGGGGGGGCGAGGCTGTCCTCGCGCAGCAAGCCCCGGTCTCGGACGGCGCCGGCGGAAGGTCTCAGTCGCGAGGATCAGGGCGTACGGCGACGAGCGCTGAGCTGACGGTCGGCAGCCGGCTCCGGTTCGTTTGGCTTTGTTGGGACTACCGGAGCCGGCTGGCCACTTCAGAGCCGCGGGGCGAGGGCGGCTGGTGAGAGGCGTGGCGGCGCCGCGGCTGTCCTGGATGGTCCCGGCTGTGGAGACTTCCCCGGTGTGGAGGCCGACTTCCCGATATGTGCGAGCGTTCGGGCGGCACTCCCAACCGCGCTGAACCGCGGGGGAAATTGATGACGGCCGGCCAGACGGGCGGACGGCCGCAGCGTCCACCCGCCCAGACGGAACTCCGCGAAAGTGCATGATGAGGCGAGTGGGCGCCCTGCGACCAGGCCGCGCTTCCGTCCCTCGAGTACCAGTGACCTTCAGTGGCCTATGGCCGAGCTCGGTCCCCATTGGTCGCCGGTCACGTGACGTATGTCCCCTCAGCTGACGATGTCCGGCTCGGAGAGGCGCGCGTGGCGCCGATGCAGCGTCAAATCAGTCCGCGGCGGCCATTCCTGTCCCTTTCGGACACTCAGCTCCGGTCGTGCATCCTATTCATTCCTATTGCGTGAAGGCTACCCAGATCCGGTCCGAGGCTGACGCGTCAGCGTTGTGCTCATCCGCTTAATGTCGTAAGCCTGTAGGTCTGCGATAAGCCCGCAAGTGCAGCGGATGTCACCGCCCACGTTAGTAGTCCTGGAAAAAAGGTCTGCCTTTGTGTTGTCGGTTGCGGCTTCTGGTCGCGCGTTTGTTGGAGATTTCAGGTTCTTAGTGTATTTGTTTCGTCATTTCGGCCGAGAAAATATTTTGTCACGGACTTTGTTGTCGTCTTAGTATAGAGGCGTCCAAAAAGGCTCCATGTTTCACGTACCTGGCCCGCAGTATAAAGTCGAATGATCTGGTCTTTCCTTCGTGAGTATGAACGTGTCATCCTTCGTATCACAGGTCCTGGTACACAAGCAGTTTGCTGGCAAACCCATCTGCCATTAAGAGGATGCGCTCCTCTGGCAGCTATACAATTACGCAATCATGGTGCTGGACCAGTTGAAGCTCAGGCAGAGCTGTAATTTGTTCGTGATTACGCTGACATTTGTCAGGCTAGGTGGATTCGCTCAGGAATGCACGTGCGGTGTCTGGTAACATTGCAACAGGATGTTTTAACTTTGTTGACATTTCATTTTGACGTGTTTTAATCATGGGAACATGTGGTTTTGAGGTATTGAAATGTTTATTTTCATATATTTGCCGAGTGCGCCGTCTGTGCTTATGTTAAGCATCGCTAAAGGGACAGGGCCGTGTTTGTAAATAGGAAGATAAGCATTTAGTCATCCTGTCTGCTTTTTTCTGCTGTTATGTGGCAAGATGGCCGAGCCGATGGCGCTTCGTGTGCCCATGGTACGGAAGAAACGTTTTTTTGTCCAGGCCGGAATGTATGCGAGAACGCGCATTAGTACGTTTGACCTGCTATGTGGATGGATTGGAGCGAAGAAGGAGCGATATGTCTCTCACTCATCTAATCATCCCTCTGCGGGCCGGGACCCATCATGCGGTCGCACTGCTGACTGATGAAATTATGTCATCACATGCTTTATTGGAGACGGTCTCCCAGTCACTGACTGGTTCCAAACCCCACCTGGCCTAAGCTGATCCACATCCACATGCATTTTCAATGTAGAGCATGGCATCATTTATGATGATGAAGGTCGCAGGCGGAAAAAGATATGGAAAAATTGGGTTGCGTATAAGATGTCAAGAAAGCCGGAACAGATAGGCTTGTTGTGCGTGCGTCATGTGGGAGGGGAGCTTAAGAAAATCGCGTGGACGGTCTGTGCAGGCGCTATGGTGTATAGCGGCTCGGCGCACGTTGGCGAATGCGTCCACTGTCATCCAGCAAATGAGACAGCTAAATAAACTGGTGGGAATGAATGTAGGATTCACGAACACACGGATTACGCAATGTCTTATGATTATGCGACAGACGTATGTACCAAGAGAACCCCTTTCACGACACTGGACAGGCTGGCCCCCAACGGCGACCTGTCCTACACCGGCAGGGAGGAGCGCAAAACGTCATCCGTCGGGTGATGGGTGGGTCCATGTCTCTCGTATGCACTGCCTCGAACGCATGCATCTTTGTTTTGTCGTGGCAGCGCGCTAACCCTGTCGTGTATTTCGCCAACATCTTGCGCACGAGTTCCGTGATGGGGGAGCGGCGAAGATGCTTCTCGGGGACGCCATCCTGCAGGTGATCCAGGCTATTCTTTTGTAGAGCGTCTTTGTTGGGTGGCCAGTGTTACAGCGGTCGGGGCGGTGTGCATAGTCACTGGCAACACACCTGAACTTGTATACTACGCTGGTAGATCTCAGCTTCGAGGGATCTTGCGGCAAGTTGTTTCTCATCACCAGGATAAACACTTGCGGACTCTCGCTGTAACCAACTGGTTGATGTTGCATTCACGCAGACATGCTCTGCAGTCCTTGTCCTGCAGCACTCTCTCATCCTTTAAGAACTATGGCGACATGGAGTTTTTGTGGAACAGCTCGCGTGTGCTGCCAGCAGGTTTGTTGTCAGCTGTTGGTTGGCAGACCATCCACCTTCCCTCGAATCTAGTTGCTGGTGGCTGCGACGCTGTAATCGTTGTCAGCGAGAATTTTCAATGCCCTGGAGCTGTCGGCGCACCAGATCCCAGCAAAAACAGTGTTTCAACGTCCGATGCACGAGTGCGCGTATAACGCCCCCCCCCCCCCTTGTAGCGTCATGGCAATCGCCCGCCCGTTCAGGCAGAGGCCGGTGTTTGTTGGCCTGCGGTGCACTTCAGTCGCTTCCAGCAGAAACGTCTACGTCAACGTCCGGGAATGGTGTGTCGCTGTTGCATTCTGGGATGTTGATATGAACGCTTCTGCTGGAAACTTCCATACTCAAGCGCACCGCAAGCCGGCAAACGCCGGACACGGCCTGAACAGACGGGTTGATTGCAGTGAACGCCGCGGAGAGAGCGTTATGTGCGCATGCGTGCAACTGACATTCAAGCACTGCGCTTGCTGATAGTTGGTGCCAGTCACCTCCAAGAATATATATATATATATATATATATATATATATATATATATATATATATATATGTATGTATTTATATATGTATATGTATATATTTGTTTGTGTGCTTGGTTGTTTTTTAGACACAGTTGCTTATAACTCAATACATGCACTACTTTTAGGTACACACACGCGCGCACACGCACACGCACACGCACGCACACGCACACACACGCACACACGCACACGCACACGCACACGCACACGCACACGCACACGCACACGCACACGCACACACACACACACACACACACACACACACACACACACACACACACACACACACACACACACACACACACACACACACACACACACACACACACACACACACACACACACACACACACGCACACGCAATATTGTAAGTGAAAACAGAAAGCGTCCCAAAGCAAGCGTGTTCATTGTTGTCGTTTCCGGCGTCTGCTGAGCTACCTTGCCTTCTGCTCCGAATATAAGCTTTATTTTTACAGCGATATGCAATATTGCTGTAAAAGTGTATAGTTGGGCCAGTCGTATTTAATCAACGCCGTATTGTGTTTCAGTTGTGGTCTTTGACCAAGGCCAGCTTAAGCAAATGATTGTCGAACGGGAGTCGCACATGCCTACCATGGAAGGCGGGCGCGTCGTGAAATGTGTTGGCGGGCAACAGAATGAGGGCATGTTTACAAGTAATTTTGATAGTGTGTTTTGGCAGGACTTGGCATGGGGTCATGTTCGGAGGTAATTTCAACGCCAATAGCAGGTTTGGAGACTGACATCCGCAAGGGGAGTGTACCTATCAGGTGAAATAGCACAGGTCCATTACGACATGGCATCCGCGAGGGGAGTGTACCTATCAGGTGGAATAGCATAGGTCCATTACGACATGGCATCCGCAAGGGGAATGACCTATCAGGTGAAATAGCACAGGTCCATTAACGACCATGGCATCCGCGAGGGGAGGTGTACCTATCAGGTGGAATAGCATAGGTCCATTACGACATGGCATCCGCAAGGGGGAATGTACCTATCAGGTGAAATAGCACAGGTCCATTACGACATGGCATCCGCGAGGGGAAGTGTACCTATCAGGTGGAATAGCAGAGGTCCATTACGGACATAGCATCCGCGGAGGGAGTTACCTATCAGGTGGAAATAGCACAGGTCCATTACGACATGGCATCCCGCTGAGGGGAGTGTACCTCTTAGGTGGAATAGCATAAGTCCATTAAGACAGATGCAAATGCCACCACTGTTCAGCAATCCGCATCTTCCATAATAAATGCGGTGTGGTGGCATCCTGGCATCCGTTCGTTTTCCTTTATACAGTGACAGCTGGTGGAATGTGGTGCTTGTTTGGCCTGTTCAATCGCCTCACCGATGCGGCTGTTGGTTTGGACTGTATCAGTCACCTCACCGACGCGGTGTTTGGACTGTCAGTCACCTGAACGGCGCGGTGTCAGTTTGGACTGTGTCAGTCACCTCACCGACGCGGTGCTTGGACTGTCAGTCGCCTCACCAACGCGATGTTGGTTTGGACTGCATCAGTCACATCACCGACGCGGTGTTTGGACTGTCAGTCGCCTCAAGGGCGCGTTGATGGTTTGGACTGTATCAGTCACCTCACCGACGCGGTGTTTGGACTGTCAGTCGCCTCAACGGCGCGGTGCCGGTTGACTGCTCAATCGCCTCACCGACGCGGTGTTTGTTTGGACGGTGTCAGACACCTCACCGACGCGGCATTTGTTTGGACTGTGTCAGCCGCCTCACCGACGCGGTTTTGGAGACCGTGTCGGGTCCGGTGTCTTGAAACTGTCGGTTGCGATTGTGAGGGAGGGTTCTGTCGTGCCTCGCACCAGTGTGTTGTCTGTGTCGGGACCGTTGAGCTATGCCCGATGTTCTGCGGACTAGGACGTGGTGTTGGTGGACTTGTCCTTGGACTGGACTGACTTGTAGGACTTGTAGGACTTGGTGACTTGGATGCCCTGGTGTCCTGCGCGTGCTCCGATAGTGTGCCGGCGTCTGGACCGTTGTCCCATGCTGCGGTGCTGTGCTAGGGAATGATCCGATGTCTGATGCCTGGGTCCGGTGGGGTGTCAACCGTGTCTGTTCCGGTGTTGTGCATGGCTCCTGTCCGGTGTTGTGTCTGGGTCCGGTCCGGTGTCAGCCGTGCCTGGTCCGGTGTTGTGCCTGGGCCCGGTCCGGTGTCAGCCGTGTCTGGTCCGGTGTTGTTCCTGGGTCCGGTCCGGTGTCAGCACTGCATGGTCCAGTGTTTTGCCTGGGTCCGGCCTGGTGTCATCCGTGCCTGACGCGGTGTTGCGGCCGCGTCTGGTCCGACGCCGAGCCTGACGTCGTGTTGTGCGTGGCTCCGGTCCGGTGTCAGCCGTACCTGGTCCGGTGTTGTGCGTGGCTCCGGTCCGGTGTCAGCCTTACCTGGTCCGGTGTTGTGCCTGGGTCTGGTCTGGTGTCATCCGTGCCTGACGCGGTGTTGCGGCCGGGTCCGGTGCGGTGTCAGCCGTGTCTGGTGCGGTCGGTGACGCCAGCTGTCGGTGTGTGGCGCAGGCGGCGCGCTGCGGCTGACGGCAGCCGAGCTGGCTGCGTGGCCGGAGGAGGACCTCACCAGAGAGCGGCTGGTGCCGCTGCTGCGCGCCGTCTCCGAGCGCAGCCAGGTCAAGTTCGGCGCGCTGATGAGGTTGCTGCGGCTGGCCCTCAGCGGCGTCGAGGTGAGCGGCCCGCCGGGCCAGGCGCATGGACGTTGCCGGCGCGCGGACGGCCGCGCCGACGGTGACTGGAGTCAGCTCAGCTCGTGTGCGGCTCCACACAGAGCAGGGCCGGCTAGCAATTAGTGGTCGGCTCGCCCTGGCGTGCCCGGCGGGGAGGGACACTTCCAAGGAAGAAAACGAAGGTATCAGGGGAGATTGTGGTCAAGCTTAATCCTGTTTTGAATCGGGGGAGATAACTCCGTGCATCGCCAACTGTTAGGTGCTGAATGGAAGGTGACGCTGCTACATGCACTGAGCCGAGACTATGTGGTATGATAGCCAGAAACAGGATCAGTATTTCCACTCATGAAGCGCTCACGCAGGAGCGAGATAGCGAGAGTTTGGTACTGTGCTGTGGTTCGTATTGCCCGAATCCAATCGCTATCTAGAACACTTCTGTGGACGTATCAGGCGTTTGTTTAACCCTGTCTACGATAAGATGAGAGCATGCATGCCCTAATTTATTTATTCTTGTGCGGAATCTGGGACAAATCATTAATCGATCTATCCATAAAGAGAAATAAATCCAAAAAGGTTAAGAAATTCCGGTTAATTATCGAACAAAACATTTGTTGGTACAATAGAGCAATCGGCACAACCAAAGTCGATCCCATCGGTGTGGAACGATGAAATGTCTGTTTTTGATAAGGGCTAAGTAAACCTGCATGACGATAATCGTGCTCGGCTCTTGAAATTGTGGAGACAGCAACCGTCGCACAGGAAAGTCGTGTGCCATTAAGACGGTTATCTATGTTCTAGGGGGCCGTGACATTGGCATTGCGTCGGCGTTTTCGTGAGTCCTGTGCCTTTAAACGGAATACATGTATCATGTAACAGGCACGCCGCTTGTATTTCAGGAGGGTCCTGGGTCGCGGAGATGATTGCTGTGCTTGGTCACGCGGAGACCATTCAGAGAATCACGAGCTGCATCAGCCAGCCTGCCAGCCGAGGGCACCGTTCAGAGCTGCTGAGACCGTCCGGTGGATCAGCAGCTGCATCAGCCAGCTGCCAGCCGAGGGGCACCGTTCAGACCTGCTGAGACGCGTCCGGTGGAGGCTAGGGCACCGTCAGACCTGCTGAGACCTTCCGGATGGCTCAGCAGCTGCATCAGCCAGCTGCCAGCCGAGGGCACCGTTCAGACCCTGCTGAGACTTCGGATGGATCAGCAAAGCTGCATCAGCCAGCTGCCAGCCGAGGGCACCGTCAGAGCTTGCTGAGACCGTCGGTGGATCAGCGGCGGCGTTTGTTAGCCCTCTCCATCAGCTGCATCAGCCAGTCGCTAGCGGTCGTCAGTTGTGGGGGGGGGGGGGGGCTCCAGTCAACGCGCTTTGGTCTCCAGCAAGCGCTTGCGCAGGCCCTCGTTGGCAGCGCTGTGCTCGAGCTGCCCACGATCTGTGCACCCCCGTGTGGCGTTGTAATATGAAGTGGGCGGGAGCTGTGCGACTGGCATGTGATGTACACCATGGGCGCCCATGAAGGTGATGCAGAACACCCGTGATTTGCTTTTGAGTTGGTATATATGTGACCTTTGCAATACAGTAGCGTCGTTGGGAAGATCTTTATGAAGCGTACTTCAGGCTTGCGTGTGAACTTGTGGGCGTTTTGGATAACAGCGGTACCGGGAAGGTCGATCGGGGCGTGTTCGTGCTGAAATAACCGTCGACACAGTCTCACACTGTCGCGTCCCCAGCTGTCGTATCTCACGATTGTCATTTTCCGCCCAGTGACGCAGCGGCCGAGGCTCGTGCCCAGAGATTGCCATCTGAAGAGCACCCCTCGCCCCCCCCCCCCTCATTAAAACAGGACCGCAAGTAATGTCTTCCATGCCGGGGGGCTTGACTTCGTGTGGATGAGTTGGGTACAATAGCGACTGGCGAAAATATTCAGTTGTTGTCGATGTCAACCGATATGTAAAAATATGAACGGAAATTATTTCTCCCCAAAAGGATCACATTTAGGACATTTACTGGTTGGCATGCATGCTGCGCAACCCATTCTCAATTTATTTCAAACATGATAATCGGTTAGGTGGACCATAGCGTCGCGAATGGGGGAATTATGAATGGCTAATAAGAGAAAGTGAAATAGGGAATGTTCTTTGCGTTTGTTCCTTCTTATCCGTTCTATTTATAGACTGGCGAAATAATTATTTTTATTTACTGATAGTGGAGAGCTTTTAGTACGAATTGGTGTCACTTTGAGCGGAATTGTCAAAATCTGCTCAACTCCTACGGCTGTAACGCCGGATCTTCGAGATTCGGACCCGATCTGACTCCATTTTTTAGCGTTTTCGCCTCCCGAGATTTGTTGTATCCCATGCAAGTTGAAGGGACAGGGGGCAATGTGATGGCATTGCAATCTGGAAAAACCTGCCCGATGTAAAAGTTTGCTCTTAAAAAATTGGCATTTGATATGGTGAACAATTTTAAGAGTTGCGTTCTTTGTTGCCGAAAACTTAAACAATGTAATATCCTTAATTTTCCATGTATGCCCAATAAGACCAAATGAAACTTATCACTTCGTGTCGTTTCAAGAAATATACCAATGCCAGCGGCAATGTGGGATTGAGGATAGGTGGACAGAACGATGGGCGAGGAGTGTCCGCACAGTGGTGCTCAATACAACCCGATTTCCGTAGGTAAACACAAAACGGTGAAACGACATTCTGTATCTGAACTTTCATAACGGACAATCGATCACAGGATCCAACTTTGTCCGCATCTAAGCAGGGCATCAGAGGCTTTGCAGCTCGGTGAGGACTAGCTCCTTTGACGCAGGAGAGAGGCCACTCACCAAAGGGTTTGCGGTACGATCCGATGTCAATGAGGAGGTGCCATGCAGTCCCGCCACACGGCCGAGGCGCCTCCCTCCCCGGTTCCGCGACCCTTGGAGCCAATTGGAGATGGCAGCGTCGATCTCTCCTACCGCTCGCTGCTGGAACATCGAATGCAAATTTTACATCGCTTTCTTCAGAATAATATTTGCGGACTATTTTGATAGACCTGACGACAAGCGATGGGTTTCGCTCCTGTTTATCCCAGTTTTGGTGCATTTTGGGTTCCGTATTTCATTAAAATATTGTCTAATGTTGCCAGTGTGAAAAGGGCTCATCATTCTTTGCCATGTCAGCTCGGTTATACGCTATGTCACTTTGCAAATGCTGGAAAACCTCTCAAAGCATAACACTTGGATGCGGAGAACAAATCGACTGGAACATCCCGCAGCTCTTTAAAGTTGTAGACAAAGTGGTAAGTTAAAGTTTGCTTCCATCCATCAGCACGGAGTGTGGGTCCATGGCTCGAAGTCAGACTGGAACGACGTCGCCAGCGGTGCCCCTCAAGGATTGGTACTGGGACATATCCTGTTCATTAATTTCGCCAACGGTTTACAGCAAGAGCTTTGTGAACGTAGATGATAGTAAACGTAGATTGTAGACCGAAACGGGGGTTATACAGTTGCTTTGAAATGGCGATCTCATGGCCGTGTGGGAATTTTCGGCCTTTGCTCAGAAACGAGAAGTGAAACTTACATAATATTTTTGACTATGCGCGCTCGCGAGTCTTCGAACAAAACCCCCGCCGTCCGACGTTGCAGTCTCCATGGACTGCGTGGCTTTGGCCGCAGTTAATGGTAGAAAAAGGGAACTCCAACGCTAAATGCTAAATTTCCAGAAAGCTGCGGGTCTCGGCGTCTGCCCCATCCTCGATTCCCATGCCCCATGCATCAGTGTCGATGTTATGATTATGCACATGTTTTTACAGCATTAACTCTCATGGCGGCAGGGTCGGCGCGCGTAATACAACGTATTACACGTTACAAGCGAATGCAGGACATGTTTCGTGTATTTGGCGCATAATATCACATGGAGGCTTCACAGGCGCCTTTAGCTGCGGCACATATAGTCATTGGTGGCCGCTGCACACGCTTAGCACATAGTGACCTGTTCGGATATCGGTAACTGGCTTGCCACTACGCTATGTTCCTTCATCGTTACTAAGCGTTAGAACGCATTAAGGAAATGTTTCACGTTTTTGTGAGGTTTTGAACTGAAATAGCCATTTTGAAGATCACTCGATGCAGCTCACAGCCCTGACCCTCTGAAGACCTAAAGCGCTCCAGTTTCTGAGCCACACGCCTGCGGACATGTGCATACTTTTTTGGAAGACCGTTTCAAGGTCGCCCAGGCATCCGCGACGCCATGATAACGTCATGCAGTCCTGCCATTCCATTTGCAAAGTAACGATCAAGGCTAAGAAAAACATAATTGTCAAGTCTTTCGCATTTGGTGTTCGTGAGCATGATTTTCAGGTATAACGGCTGTTAGTCGGCTCTTAATGTTGTGTAAGGTAGGATGGCGTAATCAAACAATGACGCGGTGAGCAACATATTTGCTGAATGGAGACATTGTGCTGTCTAGAACAGCATTTTTCACTTAAAATGATACGTTTAGTTATATGTGAGCTTGTTTCATCATATCTGGTGTTTGTCCCAATATCTTCAAATACGTAACATTCCCTTCAAAGTCCCTACTCGAGCCGCGCACTGAGCAGATGTGTGTCTAATACCCCGGCAATCTCCAATAGATTTGTAGACTGCCAAAAGCAGACCTTTTCTTGGCACTGAAGCTTTCGAGTCACGGGACCCGAAGAAATTATCTGGGCCTACTATCTGGTTCTCCCACCAACCCGCATTACAATGCTCGCTTGGCAGGCCCACCGATGCCGTGGCATGCATTTTTGGAGTGCGCGGTAATAAAAAAAATGTCATTCACATTGAAGCCTTAAAAAGTATCTCAGCATGATAAGCATTTTCATATTTGGAAGATGTTTTTATAATGCCCTGAGCACCCGCGTGAGACGTAGTGCAGTTTCTGTAGAACTTGATGCACGTTTTGTACGCACGGTGTCAAAAAATATTAAAATTCTGTCACTACTGCTGTGCTGTGTACCAGGGAGTCGGATACCACATGGAAGCTCTGGTGAAGGATCCAGTGACACATTGGTATGCTACAAATGTAAAGGAGAGGCGCGCTTTGCCTCGCAGTGAGGCAAGGCGCATTCTTCAAGATGCTTACACATCTTGTACCTCTCAGATATTGCGTTTTTCCGAAGCGCTTTGCCCCGAGTTTTAACCCGGTGGCGTATCGATAATTTGATCTTCTCTAGGTTGGCCGGTGTTTGACCGAGCAGTTTGTGATTGTCAGCCCGCAAATGCATCCGTGCGCCACCAAATGTCACATTTGTTCGGCTTCATTCCTGGCTTTTTCGGGATGGTGACCGTTTTCAAGATTGGGCGCATTCACACGTAGGCTACGTGACGGCCTACGTCAGAGAGCTGCTTGTTTGTCCGACCGGAACAGCTAAGCTAAGACATGACAGTAGCGAAGACCGCATTCAATTCATGGTGCTTTAAGCTCATGTCGCTTGCATGAAGCAGACAACGATGCCGCACTGCCTTAATTCGCACGTAGTCAAGATCTGGGTCAGTGATCTATCCCGAATGCCTTGGGAGAATGATTTTATGTTGGAGATTACATGCTGAGGAGAGTTGGCCGAGTGAGCTTTGACTCTGCTATCCCGGACTTCAATTTCAGCACTCCGATTGACTTGCCTCCAGGTGCTCAGCGGAACCGTGGGCGTTTCTGATGGATTCGCGCGGTGTTGTATAGATCGGTGGACCGTCGCCGTGCCAGGACGCGCTTGGCCAGCTGCCAACGGACAGGACGAACCAGATGCAAGCAGAGCGCTTCAAGAATTAAATGAACGTCTATGTTACTCGTGACGCTCTCATTAGCTTACTGGTCTGTTCCTGGGACCAGGCGGAGGGGGAGATGATGGAAATGTTCTTACGCGCGTTCCACAGGGCTGTCACCCGATTTTAA